TGGGCTCCAAGGCAGACCTAAACTGGATCTGACACTTCTTCCTCATTTCTGGCATGTCTGTGGTCCCTGCGTTCACAGAAGTGCTGATTCCCCCAAACATTGGTTTCTAAAAAGATGAACTTGTATCAGGTCCGTGACAAAACCAGTTTTGCCCTCAAATACACCCAGCTTCTGTCACCAAGATGTAGATGCGCTTTGAATAAACTTATGGGAGAAAAGGGGTTTTCTAGCTGAAAATGATTCTCCAAAGCTGCAAAGAAGCATCATTGCTCTAACCATTTCCCCCAACATCCACAGAGGTTTTTTCCAGCAGGTGTGGATGGCCTTCACCAAGGAGGTCAGTGCCATGGTGACATGTTTATCAGAGGGACAGTCCTCACCACAGAGAGGTCAGAAAGCCCCGGGTTGTTCAGCAGGCAGCGATGGAGCCAGCTGCCTTCCCATCAGCGTCCTGGCCACCAGCCTACCTGCAGAAGTGGCGGTGTGTTTGGATACTGATGAACTCATGAGCTGCTGTTCTCTGGTCAGCAGTTCATGACCGTGCAGATGGGTGGACAGCAAGCAGAGGAGATCACCAGGTTTTTAAAACACAGATAGTTAATTTTTGTTCTTGTCTTGTTATTCAGTTCTGCGAGGCCTGTGTTCTTACACACAGGTAGTCAGTCAGAGAGGGTGTAAATATCCATCCAGACCCCTGTGGAGACCTATGGATTTTCCAGTAGCATCTGGCTATTATTGCACTGAGCTTACTTGTAGAAGACAGAGAAGCTTTTACTGTTAGTTGAACTAATGTCAGGCCCGCTGAGGCACATTTTCAAAGATGTTTGTAGCAGAATAAGCCTGAGGCTGGGCCTGGTAGGAAAATGGCACCATATTGCTGGCACACAGGCTGAGGAGCTGATGGTGGTGAGATGCACTGGCTTCCAGGGAGCAGCTTGCAGACAGCTCACATCCCATACGGCACGAAAGCAGCTTGGTTCGTGGTGCCTGCAGCCAACGCTCCTGGAGGTGCCGCATCCGACACTGCCATCACCCTCGCTCTCACAAAGCAGATGGAGTGCTGCAGCTTGGCATGCTACATATCCCTGCAGTCCCTGGGGATGATGCTAGCGACCATAACCAACACTGCAGGCTTGAAACTGTCAGTGTTTGGGCAGAAACGGTCCTCCCCATTCCTAAAACTTGGATTAAGAAAAGCTTACCTTCATACACTGAGGCCAAGTTTTGCCAGAGAACACCAGAAATGAAGTAACAGGGCAAATGAAGGTTTTCTTCAAATGCCTGAGACATTTAAGAAGGACAGAAAAGTACAAATACTTAAGGCTAGGGACAGATAGCTTTGAGGGCAAGTTTTCCCTTCCGCACATTGATGTAAATTGGAAATGATGTTCTTGATACGAATTCATGCTTCAGTGCTGTAACTAGGAGGAAACTTAGTGGACTATTAAGAATTATACATCAAACTTTATAAACACACTTTTTGGTTGAAACTGTCTGAACAGGGCACATTCTTCCCTCTGTGGCAGCGATGCAGAGCCCTGGGCCCAGCAGAGCTGTACTTCTGGGAATACTCTCAGCACTTGGTTCTGCTGAGCTGAGTGCTTTGCCGTTAGCTAATCCTATGCAAACTGCAAAACTGGCACCTATAGGAAAACAAGAGTTTTCCCAAGTGCATTTCAAATCAGGTATGTTTACCAAACAGCTGTAACTGTAGGGATCATTTCATGTTTTATTTAGTCATTTGCATAATAAATGAAATCATCCTCTGCAATCTGTAAATTTCCAAAGACCAAGCTGTGGGCTAGGTTCAGAAGAGACGTGCGCAGAAGTTAAGTGCTGCAATGGATTTTTAAACACTTGATCCTCGGATGAGGATCGATAAATAACTTTATGTTATATACTGGGGCTGCTGACACAGCGTGCTGGAAGTCCTTGGCACTCAGACTGGCAAGACAAAACACCTGGATCTCTGTACCACAAGAAGCAAGCACCAAGCACGTGGGAAATGCCATCCTATGCAGAGACTGCTCTGGGTCAGGACCACCAGAACCCACCATCCAAAGTCCTTTTCTGAAAAATGTCTCATCCTTGTGCCTCCCAATGCCACAGTGGGATCATTTACAGGACAGAGAGCAATGCAAGAGCAAAACCTGGGAATAAAATCTGGGAGACTGAAAGTCTGAGTTCTTGACCTTGCTCCAGAGAACGTTTCTGCGTATGGTATGAAGGCTGTTAAGCACAAAACCAGGACACAGAGCCATACAGTTCCCTTCCCAGTGGGCTAGAGGTATGCCCCCTACACCCCCACCCCTCCTTGAATTTCTCCTCTCTCCTTCCTGCTCTGATTTAGATATTGATGCCAAAAGACTTTTGGTGCAGATAATTGCTTTTTCATCCTAGTCATGTCAACTCTTTGCAAGAGCAAAAATTGGGGAAGAGGGGAAAAAATCCTGTCTGTAGAAAAACGGAAGTGTCTGACCTAGACACGCTTGGAGAGTGGCTGCAGCCTGCTCCCAGCTCTGAAAGGGCCGCCTGTCCTCCAGGTGCACGCAACTGCTGTCACGCAGACCATGGGGATGCCTCGGAGAGCCACACGGCTCTGTCTGCTGACATGTCCCATGAACAACCTGGGATGCCGGCTGAATGTGCTGCATGCGGAGCAGATAATTTAACAGGAGCTGGGCATTCAGTAATTACAAATAGTGCAGGATTAGCTACATATGATTGCTTCAGAACATGAAAAGGACATGGTCTGGAGGCGAGGAGAGGAGAAATCAGATTTCACAAACCGGCCTTGCATTTTATGAAGCAGCAAGCAGCCCAGTCATGGGACTCGCTGTGTTTAATAGGTAAAATGAAAGAGACCTGTTTAGTGAGACACTGCACAACAGCACTCTCAAATAATTACACAGCGCTCCTGGCAGTCAGAAAGATGTGTTTTAACTTGTACTTTGGCCTCTCTCACACAGCACGTTGGTGTACCTTTGTCTTGACAAGCTCTCTTGCTTTGCTGCCTTGGAGCCAAACCAATGCATGGTAACGAGCAGGTTCAGTTCCAGATGAGCCATTGTAGCGATGAACTTGGCATACAACACTTGAAATTGTTCTTTTCTCAGGCCCACTCTTGCACAGCCCTGAGCACTTACTTCTCAGCGATTATAATGTAAGCTGAAAATCCTCAGACTTTTTCGGATTGGACTTGAAATAATTAAGGTGATCTTGAAACCACCAACCCGACCTGACAAGTAGGTTTGCTCCTCCTGATTTCTGGCTTGGATATTAACTTTTTTTTGCTGATGATCAGATTATTGACTATGTTAGCAAGGCTTTCCACAGTCATGGGTATACAAACAAACATGTTATACTTGTAGAAGACATCATTAAAAGTTGTCATAGCTGTTATAAAACTAAAAGTCTCCGGACTTTAGACATCAATGAAACAAGTGTATGATGATTTATCTTATTATGGGAAAGGTCATGGGGTGCCTGCATTAAGGGAGTACTGGCCACCACTGACCTCTGGCAGAGCTTCCATCCATGGGTCTGAAATGTTTGAGAAGTGCACAGACCTAAGTGTTACCATAAGACAATAGTAACGCCAGGCTGTCTCTTCCAATATATTAGCTGACTTGATTCCTGCCAACAAATGTGGAAGTGGTGGTGTGATAATGCACATGCAATAGAAACCAGTACAGCATGCTAAGTACATTTTGAACTGCTGTGGGTATCTGTCTTCCTGACAGAGACCCGACTCCTGTCCTCACACCAAGCCAGGAGACAGTCAGAAATGCTGCTAATTGTATCGCTTTGGCAGAAAGACAATTTAATGGATAACAATCAAAATATTATAAGTATACTTGTTTGACCGTGTAACTTCCTTAATTTTCATGCAGTTGTTCAGCGATGAGAACATAACTGAACAAATAGTTGGCTGACCAATCCTTTCCTCTCTATTTGTCTAACTGGGATAAAGGGTACTTTATGCAAGCTGCAACCGATGCCAATGGGACACCGCTGTCAGTTACAACAGTAAAAGTGGGGGCTAAAAACCTCAGCCAGGGATGTGGATAAATTACAGTGAGATTAGCTGCAAGCTAATGTATAACCAAAAGAAACGAAAAATGAAAGCATACAGGAAAGAGGATCACTTTGCATCGCTCACACGGTACTAACAGCTTGGAAGGCTGCCGAGAAAGAAGCGGCGGGGAATTTTGGGGGAGCACAGAGCTGGCACAGTGTCCCTGTGCTACCTGCCCCTCTGGCCTTCCCTCTGCTAGGGGGCACATCAGAATAGGTGTGAGGAGGTATTTCCAGATTCCCAGCAGCGCTGCACCATGGGCAACTGTGAGAAAGGAGTGTTTGGGAGCACAGGAGAGAAGTGCATGTGCTGTTTTGTGGCACCGCTCCAGGAGAGTGCTCAGCCAGAGGGCCCTTGGCAAGGCAGGACCCATGTGCTGCTGCCCTGGGGGTGCCCCACAGGTAAATTACCCACAGGTAAACCCCCCCACAGTGCAGCAGCAAGTAGCCGGCGGGCTGCCTCAACCCTGAATGTCAACAGCACAAGTGGACCTGGGCAAGAGGTTCCCACGTGAAGGAAAATGCAGGAAAAACATCATGAGGCAAGGGAGAAGGGATAAACCCTTGAGAAACTTGGGATTTCCCTGCCCTCTTCCTTAAGTCAAAGTAGGATGAGCAAGACCCTATGGGGAATGTCCTGCTTCAGCAGGGGGACAAAGAAAGTGAGTGTGCAGGTCCTGTCCAGCTGGAGGTCTTAGACCTCTTCCAAAGTCACCATTACAGTCCCATACATTAAACCTGGATGCTGACAGGGGGGACAAGCATGGCATGTGAATAAAATCACACCCTCTGCCTGGCACCCAGGTATGTTCGGCTCTCATTGTACAAGCTTGCCTCTATATGCCTTTTAAATACTTCTAAAAGAGGATGGAGCATATGAGATGTTCCTTTTTTTTTTTTTCTTTTTTTTCTTTTTTTTTTTTCACCTGCCTTATAAGCCTTTCAGTGAGGAGTAACTCGGAACTGAAACCCAGAAAAAAACTCATTTTCTCTGCTCATCTGCTACAAACGAGGGCCAGGTGCATCCTGCAGGTAGACTCCCAGCTCGGGACCCCGCTTCTTGCCGGCAGGGCATGCTGTCCCTCCCTGCTGTCCGCACAGAGAGCTGTAAGCTGATGGCACAAGGCATGCAGCTCGTGCTCCTCCGGGCAGCTCCAGAGGCAGGCGTGTGCTCCCCTTCGAAAACCGGCCACTCATGACAGAGAGGGGCGGCATAACGAAAAGGCGCTCTTATCACCCTAATTAGCAGCTTCCAGAGCAGTAGATCTGTATCGGGGCTTGCAAAAATAGAGAGATGCGTTTCATCCCGACAGACACCGCTCCGGCTGGGCCAGCACGCTTTGAAGTCGCCAGGAAGACCAGGGACGGGCTGGGGCTCCTGGAGCAGCCCCTTTGATCTGCGCGGTGGTGTCACCGGAGAAGCCCCTGCATGATTCGTGTCTCCAGAAACTTCCAGCACCTCCCGCGGCCACCGGCAGCTCCCCCTCCCTCAGTGGCTCCTCTGAGCATGGGGGAGCCCCCAATGAGGACAAAATTCAGTTCCCTCCAGTCGTGGTCCCTCGCCCCCAAGCAGGATGGGATGGGTGCCACCAGCACATGTCACCACCGTGCGATCTTCCGGGGTGATGAGTGCCGCAGCAGAGGCTGCTGAACTTCTCACCTCTGAGGCCGCCCGCTTTTAGGAACCGGGGCAGCGCCATGCTCCTCTGCACATTGCACAACCGGGGGTCTGACCGAGGGGCTTGTTTCCAGCGCTGGGGAAAATGAAAAGAGAAGTCAATACTGTGAAGGTTAAAGCAGTCCTCAAAGGCCAGAAACTCAGCGGCTTTAAATCAATGCGGCGGTATTCACTGCAGGAAAGCAGAGCAAAGTTACGTCGGTTTAGTATCTGGACTGAAAACAATTCAAATCATAGAGTCACAGAAATGAGATGGGAAAGAATGATTAGATCATCTCCTCTGTCCCTCGGGGCAGGGCAGCCAGGCTATACTGAGTGCTTTGTGCTGCGGCCAGCGAAGCCACGGCTGGTTCAGGCCCTGCTAAGGCTTTCCATTTCTGTTTTCCTAGTGCTTCTGTTCTTTGACAAATGTATTTTGAGTGAATAATTTATGCCTGGGATATTTAAAGAACAGAAACCTAAATCCTCTATTTACTGAATTCACGCAGAGCTGGCTTTGAAGGAAACAGCTGCAATGCCTCATTTCCCATTGCCTCCCCTCTGCTGACCTGCTCAGGACCTTCACCCCAGCCCAGGCAGATCATCCTCCCCGGGGGGAAGCGGCTATTAGAGGAGTAGCCAAAATCACTCACGAATGACAGTGTTAAAAACGGTCTGCTCAACACGTTAGGAGTCCAGGTGTGTTACAATATGGTTTGTTTCCTTGTGTGCTTTACAATCAGGATGAAAGACATGCCATGTCCTCAAAAAAAAAAAAAAAAAAAAAAAAAAAAAAAAATTATAGAAAAGGATCAGAACTGTTCCTGGTAAGTTCTCATTGTCAGTTCTTGCTGCTCAGGCCTTGCCTCTCTCTTTTGAGCAGGAGCTCCAAATAATGCTGTCTGATGCCATCTGGTGAATCCACAGGGGATGGGTAAACAATACCAAACTGATTTCCCTGCCTACCAGAAGAACTTGGCTTGCGTTCACATTCCCTTGGAGGTAAATCATTATTATTCTGATTGCTAGCTCAGATTCCACGAAGAGCAGAAGGAAAGGAAGGGAAGCAATAAAGGGACCTCCTTTTGCGCCATGGATGCAGTGGAGATCACACAGACAAGGTGCAATAATAAAAGTGACACGACTGGGGCTGCTCTTTTGATGTGCCAGTGAATCATAAGCCTTGATTTAAGCAAAGAGATCTGCATCTGCTCTACAGATAAGCAAAGGGAGAAGAGTGGGTGAAAAATCTACTGATTTTTAATAAGGGTAGGCAGCCTGAGGTACATTTTGTTCTCAGTTAAACTTATTGCATAGTAAAGAAAAAAAAAAGTTTTTAAAAAAGTCGAAAATTAGATGCTGTAGATCTAGTCATTTGTAAATTTTTTTATTTTTTTTTTGGAGGGGAGGAAGGTCACTTAACCCATACCTAATATCCAGATGCTTTCCTTTTGTGATCAGATCTCTGTATTACATTATATGCAAACATACATTTTTCAATCTACCAAAGCTGTATAATACTTTGAGAGAGAGAGAGAGTCTTAGCCCTGCACAAACCGAAGTGCGTAAGGACAGGCAGGCAGGTCTGTAGGTGTCCTGTCAGATAAATGGGTAGCCGCAGAGTTTTTAGAGGGTAATGCGTAGCACAGCTTTCATCCATGTTCATGTAAGAGGCAATGGAGTTGGAAAGGTGGGTAGAAATCATTTCTTTACAGCACAGACATGTTCAAGTGGGGTCACGTTTGATGTTTACTCACTCCATGGTTTCTGCCATTACAGCCTTACTCAGGGGTGAGGTTCATTCCCAGGGTCTGCTGCGGAGCATTCCCACATAGTTTGGCACATCACTTGGCTCTTGTGCCTCATTTCCTGTCCAAACTAATTGCTTCTCCCTGACAGACCCACTGATGCTGGCAGGTCTGAAAGCAGTGTCTCCTGCAAGCCTTGCACCTGATGTACTGCTCCTGCGCGGCCAGGCCAGCACGTCCCAGACAGACCAGAAGGTGCAGGTGCAGAAGGGCTCTGCGCTGGTGACAGACCCCATGGAGGACAGGGCCCAGCAGCTGCACGCCACCAGCCTTGCTCTCAGCAAGTGTGCAAGAGCACTTCTCCAGGCCTGCTGCCCGAAGCAGCGGATGACAGATTGCTGCCTAGCACAGTAGTCTGCCGTCAGAAGGAAAAGGGTTGTCAGGCATGTCCTATTTAGGGGAAGAAAAATGCGGTGCCTATAGACACGGGGACTGTGTGAGTCATTATGGGAGATGAAGAAGGAAACAAAATGTTCCTTAAACTTTGTGTCGTATCACTGTGAGGGGGGGAAGGTCACTGTGCCCTTGCAGGGTCTAGGCAAGCATCCACAGGACTGTTTTGGGGGACAAGGACTACAGGCAGCATCCTGGAGGGCAAAGCCTAGGGAGATGTGGGGACAGACAGTAAACTGCTGGGAAGGGGATGTCTCTTCAGTGCATGAAACAAAGTGCTCAGAATGTGGGAGTCTTTTGGAAAACCCAGGAGATAACGGGAATAACCAGGATGTGTGTGGCAGCAGGCCTGGGGCCCAGCATGAGGAACTGGGGGGAGCAGCCAGGGCCAGGACTCAGTTGGGGATCAGAAGGATCAGAATTGGGATCAGGATCATGTGGGGATCGTGTTGGGATCAGGTCCCTTCTGCCCCACAGGGAGCCGGTCCAGGCAAAGGGCGAGGAGGGAGCCTGTCTTCCACTCCTGACTCTTGTTTGTTTTTAAACACCGGCTGCATTTCCCAGCGATTATACTCAGGTTTGTACTCATTAGCAGAAGTTAGCGCAGTATCTTTGCTGTGAAGCTTGTGGATTCGTAACTCACCAGCACAGCAGACGCTTCCTTAGCCAGAGGGTGTTTGGTTTGTGCAATTCGTTATAGGAAATCTCCCTGGATTTTCCCAGGTTTTGTGTGCTTTTTGTTTTACCGGTGGTTGCACTCAGCACTTCAAACCCTTCTTTGCTTTTGATATGTTTTGTGGCTCTGCTCCACAGCTCTCAAAGGCCAGCCGGGAGACAAAGGGAACCTCTGAGATCAAAACGTTTTCAGCCAGCACAGCAGCTTACACGCCATGCAGTCCGGCTGCAGGCTTGCTGGGAAGAAAAATCTGTTTCTGAAAATTTTGTAAGAGAATTAAATGGTTAAGGATGTAAGGTGCATTTGTTTTTTTTTTTTTTTCCCCTACATATTGACAACATTATTTCTATCACCATAGCTCCTACATTTGGAAGAACACGTGTTTGTTAGGCTGACTAACATCCCTGCAACTTGACCTGCTAACAGCATCCGAAACGTAACTATCCTTATGTACTCATGGGGATTCACAGTGGATAGTGTTAGGTCCCATTTTATATTTTAGTTACTTCAGCTGAAGCATTCAACTAGTATTGAGTTGATGTGATTCCTAACACAATGTTTCCCCATCCCGCCTCCCCAGCTTAACAATAAAGCACTTACATAGCCAGGAAGGCTTTTCAGCTAATTCCCCCAAAAACGGGAACGAGCAAAGTTCACGCTTCTGCTGCGGCTTGGCCGGCCCAGCCTGCCTGGCTGCACAACAAAGGTGGACAGCGGGCTGCTACTCGAAAATAGACTGCAGCCAGGCACAGCTGAAGTGCAGGAACAACTTCTCCCCGCTGCTCTCCCTCCCCGGGCCACCCTCCACCCTGTCCCCATGTGCCCTCCACCATGGCCTTGCGCAGGACCCCTACAAAGGGGCACTTGTCCAGGTGGAGAGGGCCCTGCTGGATTTGGGGACGGTGAGAGAGGAGGACGGGGGGAGGCCCTAAATTAAAATTTAGACTTTTGTTTTTACCTGATTGTCCCAGCAATGACCAGCAGGAGCTCTGAAAAGAGCCGGGCCAGAGGCAGTCCCTGTCTCCGCCAAGTAACATACCTGTGCTTCCACACTGCCTTTTGGGAAAGTGGGCGATGCCAGAGGAAGAAGCACCAAAATTCAGAAAGTGCAAAAAATTTAATAAAAGATATTCTGAATAAAAGCAGAAGCACAAGAAGTCAGAAAATGAAAAAGCTCACAAAAGCTCTTCTGAAAGTCTTTCTGGGCAATCTGCAGACAGGCAGCACTGCAAAATTTCATTTGCTGCTGAAGGTTGATTTTACAGAGATTAAGTTCTTGGATGGAAAAAGGAAATCTTCCTGTGATGCTTCACAGACTACATATACCTCTGTATGGCAGCCAGACTAACAGCACACTGAAGCACACATCTGTCTTGGAGATGTTTCTTTCTCATTTATTTTTTTCTGAAAAGGAAACATATTTCACAAATGAGAGGGCGCTTCACCAGTCTGACAGAGCATCTCTGTGCAAATTCAAAGCTTCTGTGCTGGGCTGTTCTTCCGAAGAGAAAACCCCTAAAACCAAAATGTTATACTTTTTAAAATAGCAAGAAAAGAAATTGTTTTGCCACATACTTCCTTCATGAAAATGGCAAAGCCAAGTGCAGCATTTTATGCATTATTCAGTGCCTCTTTTACAGTTTAAGCTTCTTGTAAAAAAAATAAAAATCATCTTCTGTAACTGACATTACATTCATAAAGCATTTAACAAAAGTACAATGGTTTATTTAGAAATAACAATGTTCTTTCAAAAGGAATACAGATATGGGCCTTCTCTGGAAGGGTTAAAGCACTTTTTGGCTGCTTACCACTTAGCGGCAGCAATTTTGTGTAGTTAACCCAGCGGGGACTGAGGAGTCGGGCTGGGAGTTATTTTATTTGCAGCGTGCATGTAGGATGGAAGCCTGACACTGTGTAAAGAAAATGAAGATGGAGTAATGCAGAACACTTATGTTGAGTAAGAACTTTATCCCTCTTCTAGCAAGAAGGATCAAGGATGTTTATAAATAAATTGGGAGAGCAAATAGTTTAGCCTGCACCATAACGGGCTAGCAATAAACAGAGATTTTTGTATTGTTGATTCTGGTTCAGGCAGTAATTGCACACATCTGCACACTGAGTACAATTAAACTATACCAAAATACTTTTTGCAGGGACGAGTCATTCTTACCATTGTCTGGTGCTGCATAAATAATATCACAACATAGCTGCTTTCTACAAAAGCTGACCGTACATCATCCCCCCTATTTATCATCGTGCTGGTTCATGCCAACAAGTTCCCAGAGGAGCAGCACGTGTATCAGCAGACATTGATTTCTGAGCTCGGCCTGCATCTTCCTACTGCAACACTTCACTTGAGAAATGAGAATGTGTTTGAAAACTGGCAGCGGGGAGACGCACCGTCTTCCTGGGAAGGGAACATCATGTGGCATTTCTTGCCGTCAGCACCAATTCCTTTTACAAGGCCGTAGCGCATGGGAAACTTTTCTGCATTACTGATGAACAACAGTTTCTGAAAGATGGGAAATTAGTTTGATAAGAAGCCACCCCAGCCCTTGCAGAGCAGGATAAAGGCGCCCAGGAATGCATAAACAGGACGGCTGAGTCGGCAGGGTGAAGCAGGAGGGCTGTCGGAGGAGCACAGCCTCTCTCCCAGGCACAGGCTTGGACTTTCCAGGCAGCTCTTCCTGGGCCCTGAAGTGCCCCAGCATTAGCAGGGCACTGGTTTCACGCCCAGCTTCACCTCCTGGCCTTCTCCACGCAGCCCTTCTCATGTCCCTACAGCAGCCGTGGGTCTAGCAGGAGCCAGGAAGGTACCGAGAACTTCAGACTTCCCTAATTAACTCCTTAATCATCACAGCCCTTGATCTTTCTAGTATGGCCTGTCTTCCTTGTGCTAATCCATGAAATCAAGAGAAGTGCTGACAAAAGCATAATTACTTGGGCTGCAGTTTCATGACACAGAGCCTTTGGTGGCAATGCTGCCCGCAGGTGTTCTCGCCGCCTGCTCCCGGGGGGCGAGACCACTCCACCGGTTTTGCTGTGAGCCACCCAGGAAAAAAACACAGCTTAAAAAGCAGATGAAACTCACCAAAAACAGACACCTCAACTAGGAGAGAGTATGGTGTGTGGTGGGGCACCGGTCACGAGCAGCTGATTTCAGGGTGGAGAGCCAGGAGTGGATCTGGGACTGTCACCAACATGTGGTGGCCTCACCTGTGCCAATGTCCAGGGCAGGGGGACGTAGGCTGGGAGCTCCCTGGGGAGGAACTCGCTGTATTTTGTGTGCCAGTGGAGAGCCAGTGTGACTAGCAATAAAGCAGCTACAGGGTGTGATAATATTTCCATTATGGAAGATGTGTTTGCGTCCGGGTTCAGCGAGTGATCGAGTGCTTATGACAGCTTCGTGCCCAAAGAGTTATCTCTGCACCTTCCTTTTTTCCTCTGCTCTCTCTGGTCTGATTGGTATTTTTGTCTGTGAGGCTAGAGCCAAACGCATTGTTCTTTCTTTCTAATACCATTAAAGCATTGACATTTTGGCTTTGTGAGATACTTTATTTAATGAAAAAGGAAATAAGGGCTTTTATTGCTACAAAAGCTAGCGGGAGGCAAGGGATGGTATTGCTGAGCTTTGAGAACAGTTGCTTTCAGGAAAATTATTCTCCAAATGGAGGCTGAGGGCACTGACCAGGGTGAACTGAATTGTGACAAGTAATTTCATTACCTGGACTGGGCTAAGCTGCCTAAGCTTATTGCTACCTCCAGCAACAGAGCGCAGTGGCTTGCGGTGCTGCAGCTCTGCAGTGGAAGGAAGTGCAAGGCAATGAGGGTTGTCACAATTTTCTCACATGCAGTAAAAAAACAGTGTCCAGTTGGTCATAACTTGATGCCCCCACGGTTTAAACTGATCACATGCTGCTGAGATCCTGCAAATCGGCTGGTTAGCTCTCAGGGCAGCGCTGCCGTTAGACCAGCTCTTGCAGAATTACCATGCATGTAGGAAATCTGTTTGATTCCCACATGTGTTTGGTTTTCAGACTTGCAGGCTCCATGGCAGGGTGTGGGGGGGAAACCAACAATCAAACCATCGTTCCCTTGAGCTTTGTGCTGAGTTATTTTACTGTATGCAATCCTTTTTTTTTTTGTTTACAAGGCTATGTATACACCAGGACGGCATTTCTTGTGCTTTCTGGCATTTGAAAGTAAGAGAGCAAGATGAATAGTAATCTTGTGTGGTGGGTATGTATATCCGCGTGCATACATTTGTATGCTCCTTTTATGTCTGTGAATTGTGCTGGACAGATAATCATGAAAACTTGACATCCTCTCCTTCAAAGCAGCAGTGTGAGAAGCAATTACATGCACTTTGAATACCAGCCGGACGAGCTTCCCACACCATAAAACATGGTATTTCAATTTGGACCCGGAGGAGAGAGCTGCTGCATCCTGCCATTTTTATTCTGCCTTCAAACAAGATTACCTGTACTGTGCTCCAGGAAAAACGCACAGCGCTTATCATCTGCACGGGCTGCAGGAATCCCTGGCTGAAATGCTCTGACCTCTGTGATACAAAGGGTGAGCCTGAGCGATCAATCATCTTTAATCTATGAAGAGAAAGAGGGGAGTGTTGCAGCTCGCTGCGATCTGAGCTGTTCTGTTATCTATGGCAAAAGCCCTAGTACTTAGGGCTCTGCATTTCCTACGCTGCCTCATAAAATCCTTCATTTATTATGGGTGTCAGTACAGGGTGTAACTAAACCCGCATGAAGAGTGGTTTAACAACATGTATAAACAAGACCAAGCAATGCAAATCACAGTTCCTGCAACTCCTTTTGAGCTGTTCTGAGAACAGGGAGGAGCAATATACAATAAAGGGTGAAAAATCATGTCGTTTTTATCCTAATCTGGCTTCTACTTCTCATTAATTAATTCATATTGTGAATTAGTTCTGGTTGGCGGATACATTTTGGTGTTTTGTGAGCCCAAGAGCACGTCCTACCTCCATTCAGATTACGAAACAAGCACAACAAGCATGCCTATTGACTAGGAATCCGTATTGCTTTGGGTCATTTCAGAAATCTGGCCCCATAAAGGTCAAACGAATGTCCGAGGATAGGAGGAAGGTGGAAGCACAGAGGCCCCTAAGTTGCACAAGGGCTGTCAAGGACAGGAGGTGTAGACAGGCTGTTTTGGCTCTCCTGTCAACCTACTTCCCCATACGCTGGTGACAGCAATGAACTTCCTCTATTTAAAAATAAATGAATGAATGAATAAATAAATAAATAAATATGCCCTA